AAAAGTAATCATGTCTTAGACGTAAAGTATACGAAAATAAGTTATATACATGTAACACTTATTCGACTAGACTCCCTTTAACTAGCCAATGTCATGCTCTGTCTTCAACAATCATTGTCTCACATCAATATTACAGGAACAAAAACGATCATTAATTGAGTGTACCCTCGTTATTTAGATTTACTTCACGTTTTTAACTACGGAATATTTTTTATCCTCTTTTCCAATATACCCTTTATTTCGAAACTTTCGAAATGTCTCTATATTGACCTTAATGTCTCCAATATATTATGACCTGAATCCCTGGATTCTTGCATGGTAAATTATCAGTAAACCTGTATTATTTCAACTTATTTATAATCCTATGAAAAATAATCTGACATAATGAACTACTTTACGTTCCACAATAAATTGGAGTTACCTCCCTTTACCAATTATATCCTAATTTAATATATACATTATTTTACTCACTGGATTTTCTTGCAGATAAATGTAATGTATTTATGTATTAATTCTGGAAAGGACTGATATAGGCTCAGCCTGTTGTCCAATCCGTTTAACATATGGAATGTTAATAAAATTTTGTTGAAATTGATGTCTCCAATACCCCGAACATCCCTACAAACCAATCCTTATATGGCCGTTGGCATTTGGTGGCTATCTACATACCCGTTCTCAAATGACCTTGGCTGTAGGTTTTCCCTATATACCAGTCCTCATGTGACAATGTATATTCGTATCTCTTACATACCTATCTTCATATGGCCTTGAATCTCAGCGACTCCAACATATATGTCATCATGTGACCCTGACTGTTGACTTGGAAACTACCATGATCGTTTTACTGTTGTCTTTTAACTTTATGGAATAACATTTTTTGGACTCCCTGCCTGCTAGAATTTAAAAATATATTTTATCAATTTTAAGAAAATTCGACACACACGTTTCTAATGACCAAGAAAAAGCAAGTAATGCAACCAAAAAATCTTTCAATATAAGATGTACAATTCTTGTAGCTTTGGTGAAATGGATATATCATTTTTTTCTTTGAGTAGTTTCAAGTGAACGATTTTTGAGCAATTACAATGGCATAAGGGAGACAACTTCAACCACTATCAACATCACAAGTCTGCAGAAATGATACCGAGAGTTACAATAGCCTTCAATGAAAAATTGACCTGTGACCCATGACCTCAATTTTGCTCATTCTCCTTATACCCTTCATTCAGTAGGTACGTGTTGAGGAGACATATATCAGTTAATATACGGCATATCCCTAGCATTCCACGGTGTATCTATCGCTAATTATTACAGTGTCAGTGAATACCTAGATATTTGTGATGTAAGATATGCTTCAACTGTAATTCTATCTGGAGCTTTCTGATTCGTCTCGATAGTTAGGAACATTTTCTCTTTGAATATTGATTTATTAATCCATCTATTCATTTAATATGAAAATTATATACATACATATATACGGTATATGTTCCCATTGATCTATGTCCGTGTGATATATATGGAATAAACTAGAAAAAACTGCATTTTTGAAATAATGTTTTTTTCGACATTACAAGCGGTTAATTCGAATTCTCAAAGCAAAAAAAAATGGTGTGTTTTTAAAGAACTCGTGAAATGGACTACAAAACATTTAAAAGACAATAAATCATATCAAGCGAATATTCCTTCTAATATCATATGTGCAGCCATAGAGATAGCGACTCGGTAAGTTATAAAACGGACTGTCCCATCACAAAAAGTTCAAGAAATCGGGAAAATGTTGCTCCTATATTAAGGCTGAAACATTATTTTTATCAGACGTGTTTGCTTTCATTATGAATACGTTGCTGCTTTCGTCAGATATTTCTGATCGAAAAAAATCATGAAACATTGTATATAAAGATAGAATAACACGTTTGAGCAAGACTGTAATTGACGTTGTTCTAAAATTATCAGATATATGAAAATAACGAAATTTACTGATTCATGGGGCTAGTGCACCTCCCCATCTCGACTTTGACTTTACTTTCGATCTCCAATGCTGCAATAATGTAGTATCACTGATGAGCCCTAGATTGACAAAATGCAGTTTGTTTCCTTCTTTGACTCTGTTCTATCTATCTAGATTTGCAATAAAAGGTACTATTCACTTATGTGTCTTGTACTATCTTTATAATAATGTAGCAAGTTTTATCGAATTTATTAACAAATTTAGATATCTTATAAACGGCTATCAATTTTTTAGCTATGTTTACAAATGTGGTATTGTCCATCGCGAACAACTTTTATCAAAAGGCATTTTTAATTGTTCCACAGACCTCTGTGAATTTGTAACTCATTTTTACAATGGCATTCAATAGAGACATTTCAATTAGAAAGTTGCTCTTATATTCCGATCGTTTAGATAAAATCATTGTTTTGCCCTAGATAATGAGAATATTATTCTGTTCCGCGGTAACCTGGTTGCAACCAATGCTTGCATGTATTTTAGCTATTTGAATAAACATCTCCCAAATTAACTAGACCAAAAACAAACCTATGACTTATAAACATCATCCAAATTACAATACTTATATTTCCATGCAAGAAAAGATCACCAAGATATCTTCATAATATGTGCTGTTAATGCATGTATGCTATATCATTTACAAATATTTTCTACCACTATTAAACCGTTACACGCAAGTTGCTGCAACATCAATATTTTTTGTCAATTCGAAGAAGAATGTGTCATGGGGAAATTGCGTTCCCTAATCTATTCAAACTTCCATTTGTTATTCTAACCCTAACCCTTTTCGGTCGCCAATCTATATACTTATTTTGCATTGATCTGAAATTATTCATACAAACGATGTTTTGATATAAAATAACACTAATTAGAAATCTAATTGTCAATTCATAGGATTCTAAGCAAGAATATCAATTGCATTATCAAAGTGCTGGTGTTTCGTGTTTCCATATGTTGCCTACTTTGACCTCTGCTGTAAGGTAATCTTATACTTAAATATTTGTTCGGTAGGAAAACAGTGTTAATACGTTACTATGATAATGTCAGCAAAGGGTTAACAACTGGGTCATGTAAAACTGGTATTTGTATCCAGGTAAGTTCAATTTTGTACAGACTATCGCCATCATTAACGAACTTAAAATGTGTAGAATATTCGAAGGTAACTGTCCGAAATTGTTGATGGAATTCGGTCAGAGTTTTATGTTCAGCTACATGTATTAAACATATTTAGGTATGCCATGTAAAATAATTCTGAACACATCCAAAGTGAACATTAGCTGAGTAAATGTAAACAAAACTATCTATTGAAAGAGGATATCTTAAAAGTGTCGCGATGTAATTTATTTCATTATGTTACACGAAAACAACAACCCCATTTAGTTTTAATTATCGGGTCGGTAAGATTTCTTTGTTCTAGTTGCAAAATATTTTTTAAAAAAACTGAGGTTGAAAGAGGACCAATTAATATATCATGATTTTTAACAAAGTGTTGCTAGGTAAGTATTTGCCAATAAACTAAACGAATAAAGTATTCCTGATAGTATTGCAAATAGCATACTGATAAGCATGATGTTGTTTATATCGGCATGATATTATTTTCGACGATAAATGTGTCCAAACACATTTTGAATAGTCTAGACCAAAACCAAACTTGACGTAACAAATGTCAAAATGACAATACTGAAGTAATGAAGGATTTAAGATGTTTATATATGAACATTTCATCGTTTACAAGAGCCATGTGAAATGGTTATAAACTAATAAATACTTTTAATGATATTCAACATCTATGAACCATTACTCTTATAGTTGTCGCATATTTTACTTCTATTCGTCTTTCAAAATGTCTGTGAGTCACAGCGACTTAAATTTGACCGACAAACTAAACACACTAGAATTAGTTTTGCCCGATCCTGCTTACTGGGTAGGCCAATTTAACCATTTTAGAGCTTTTCTCCAGTATAATCTTTATCAGCATCAATACAAATACAAAAACCTCAGAATTTGTTTTTAAAGAAGAAATTACAAATTGTATTTAAATAAGATCATTTCATTACAAGATGTATTAAAATGACAAGTTTTTATAATTCTATTACTGATATTTAAGCAATCCCTTGCATTATCAAAATGCTGGTGTGTCATGTATCAATTCGTGGTCTACCATGACCTCTGCGGGAAGATAATTTAAACTTAAATATTTGGTCGTAATGACAACAGTGTTAATACGTTACTATGATAACGAAAGCGGCAAAAGGTTAACAACTGGGCCGTGTGAAATTGGTGTATATATATCTGATCATTTTGTTTTTCCTGCAGACTCTAGATTTCAACAAGAAAGGTAAGTGTTGATATATTCATGATGGCATACATAACATTTCTGTCAATATTTTTCTCTGATTAATTAAATTTTTTTTGAGGTATTTAGCAAAACCAAATCAAATAGGATGCTTCTTTAATGAATATTAATTTCGACGTTCACATGCTAAAACTTCTAGAGCAATTTCCATCTGATGAGTTGATTTGCTAATGGCATATATCATCTCAAAACGTTCGTCGTACATAGTTGCAATTATTTTTTTGTAATTTGAGACGAGACTAGGTGGCATTGGGGTTCACTTGAATCTGATATTTTGGTTATTTTCCATCTTTTTTCTGAATATGTATTGAAGTGTATCATCTTGTATCTTTTGCAATCTCCTCCTAAATTAAAAAAAAATATATCGTAAAACGTATTGCTGAAATATTACTCAAATATTTTTAAACTTGATAGAACAGTTATGTTTTATATACACTATATTTACTCTACTTTTTTTTACTTCATATTGTAAAATGCCATTGGATAATAGTATAAATATCAATTCCGTACACTGACTGTGATGTATGAACTGATATGATTCATTAATCAAACTAAATCAGATAATAATGGAATGATATTCATTTCTATTTGCCAAGAACAACACAGTTCATTTTGATATCTGTTTTTGTTTAAGGCGATATGAAGCTGTGTTTTGCTCTAGCCTTCTTAGTATGTGGCTCATGCGCCCTTACTGTTGAGGAAGCTAAAAAGTTCCGCAATGACGGCCAATATGGTGGAAGGGTTAGCTATACTGACAACGGAGATAGGTAAGTGTGATCGCGACAACAAAACAGTATCGAAATGATTAATATCGACAAAGTGCAAAAATAACTTAATCACTTGAAAAATATTTGTTTTTAGCTTAACTTTTTAAAAAGTAATAAAGCCTCATAAATCGCTGCGTATGTAATGATTCATGATAGCTCAATGACTACTGCTACTACATTTTGCAGCATCACTTTAACATCTAATGGCCTACCCGATCATGCGTTTGAGAAAGTTAACCCTAACGAACTTGCATCACGAAATGATGTTTACACGGTACCAAAGGATCCACAGATTGGAACCACAACTGGTTGTCTATCAATGGGTCCTATTGGAATGACCGTAACAGGATCGATGATCTATGACCCTCTAAACGCACAGGGTAAGCATCTGTATAGTTACAGCTCTGTGCTCGTAGGTGGCTGATAGCATTTGCAAATATCTTCAAGATGAAATGAAACTTCACCTTTAGGGAATGATATGGTATTTGTGGATCAAACCAATTACAATGGTAAGCATACGACATTTTGTTTGTAATCGCAAGAAAAAACGAGTGAAAACAAAATCACGTCATTTTACTTTTTAGATCCGATGTATTATTGAAGATTATTGTGTAAACAATTTGAAACTGGAATTATTCTATAACTCTTAAGGTCAGAACGCAGTTGAGGGGCCTACCCAGGAACAGTTTGATTCCTACGGCGGTCACACAGATCCTCAGGGTATCTATCACTATCATAAGATTCCAGGGAGTTGGCTTTATACTGGCGAAGCAGACGAACTCCTCGGAGTCGCATTTGATGGATTCCCGATCTACGGACCAATGGCGTCGGACCTAGGTCGTGATGTCACAAACAAAGATCTTGATGAATGTCACGGACGAATGGTGAATGGGAAATACAGATATCATGCCAATACCGAATTCCCTTATTATCTTGGTTGCTACAAGGGATCCACCGTCAACAGGGCCAGAACAACTTACGGGAACTGTACAGATAAGTCTGGTACGTGTAGATCATCGTTAATGTTTTTTGTAGCCAACGTACACGCTGTGTTTTATTAATTGCCTCGAGGTTTGGAAAGATGAACGAGTTGAGGAGCGCTGAGGTCATCACCTTCGACAGAATATAATTCCTCAAAAGAGACCTCTTTCTCTTCTTTCAGTCATTCCTTTGCATTTCTTTTGAACACGTATCTTACATATTTCACACGTTTAATTAAATTTCTAAATTTCTAAGAGGTCGTCATTTGACATAAAGTTTCAAAAGATGCAAGTTCTTGAAAATTATGGGAAGGTTGAGCCGTCGTCATTACAATTTCAATGAGAAATATTCTATTTTTGTGCAATATGTTTGACGCTCGTTGGTTTGCCTGTTGGTTCTGTTGTTGCGTACCTTGTGCTCACTTTGAGAACGTGACGTAGCTTACTTTGATTGACCAGGAGTTACATAACGGTTGGCGTCGATGACGCAGACGACTCCTTCTCCTCTGAAAATCCTGGTCTTAATCTCCTTGTCCTTTTTTCATGAGTGTCCGTGTAGATCTTTCTTTTGTTCATATTCGGCCATAGTTTTATGGAATTTGAGCTTGGATTATGATAATGTTGGTATGTTGGTATTTTATGGAAAGTAACGCATACAACATTATTCCTTCATTGAAATTTTACCTAGAATGTCAGCATTTATAGCAAATATTGTAAGTATATGCCGATTGTACGTAATTATGTATGTAACCTATACAATAATTTAAACGATATACGCTGTGCTTCTGACTTAAAGCTCTATTTAGCTCGATTAAAATGGCTATCGCTTGCATATTTATATAAATCCTTACTATTTCTAAAGATTTATCTAGGTCGATTAAAATGGCTACCGTATATATATATCCTTACTATTTCTTTACATTTTTCTAATTGAAATAAACTTCTTATACGTAGGACTTCCGGAATATGGATATGTGTGCACTTGTGCACGTGAAGGTCCAGGGCAACTTGGTGGCATGGGACATCAGGGTAGCATGGGACAACAGAGTGGCATGTATCAGCCAATAAACGGACAATACCAACAGTTGCCACAGCAACACGAAACCCAAGCGTCTGGAACAGACAACCAACAACATTTTTATCCACCAATGCCAAACCAACAACACCCATCAGACAGGCCAATTGTACCCCCTTCTCAGCCATCTGGTACAGTGCAACATCCCTATGAACCAATGCATCCTTTTTATCCGGAACACCATCACATGCAGCCCCCACCAGACGGCCATCATTACGGACCTCTTCATTTCGGAAATCTCCTCGGAAAGAGGAAATAAAGATGATACAGAAATTAATTAAATGTTAATTTGTAGTCTGTAATTACGTGTTGTCTTAATTTACTTTCTATCAATTACTCTGTTCAAAGCTATTCAGAATGAATTATATAGGTCAGAAAATAAATTGAAATACTAATGGCAAAAACAATCAAATATTTCTGTTGTGATATGTATGAGATATACGGCAGATTTTAATTTCGTCCTCTATCGAGATAATTTTCTAAAGAATGTTAAAATCACATGCATGCACTCTTCACTACCAATTGTCAAATGCATGTCTTGTCATCCATACTTTACCTTTATGATGTCACAAAACACAAAAATTCTGAAAAAGTGTAGGATTGACTGTAAATATACTATTTTATCCCGGTCTCTGTTTCTATCCAGATTTGCTTCCTTAAAGATCGAACAATGTCTTAACTATGTTGTCTTTAATATTTGTATTTCTAGGGAATTGAACATGAAACGCAGTTCAACCCTGAAAGTAACGTCGCCTTCTTTTACAAGAAGCAATAATATACTATTCGCAGTAATTTGCTGTATACAATAAATACTCAGCTGTTTCCTTTATAAACGTTTTAGACAGAAAAAATTACCTTCCTTTTACTGATGCTTGGTATTAACAAAAATAATCTGGAATTAATTTATGTCTGTGTTGTGGTATTTGCAATTTTTCATATTTGCAAAGATAATGGTATTCATCTCCGATTTTGTGTATACAAAATGGCAGAGTGCCTTCTGCCACCAATATTCGATGAAAGCACGCCGGCATTATTAAATCAAAAGGTGAACATGGATTGCAGAAATTTATTTGAACTTTACTTCGTCCAATATCAGACCTTGTCTAAAGACCGCTGGTGAGACATTACCAAGCATTGATAGAATCATGTTTAAGTAGACTAGGGAATCGTAGAAGACGTACGTGTGCCACACGAGTTGACTTTATTTCATCAGAATTTCAAAAGATACAGGTCGAGGAAAATTATGGAGAAGTTTTATGGTCGCAATAGCTATCTCATTATCTTTGTACGATATGAAGCTGAAAATGATTGATGCGCGATATTTTCCCTGTTGGTTCCGTCGTTCTATACACTTTGTTCTCATTTGCGAACGTGGCATTATTTACTGGGAATTGACCAAGGTAGTACCAAAAGACGCTTACTCTTCCGAAACAGCTTATATTATCTTCGTATACTTTTAACATGAGTCTCCGTGTAACTATTTCTTTTGTTTATATTTTGCCCTCGATGCATTGAATTTGAGTTTGAATTATGATTACGTTGACATGTTGGTATTTTCTTGTTGTTTATTGACTGGCATCAGTTACTTAACTCAATAACTTTTATATAACAATTTGATATCACCTATATATCGGTAGTGATAATTTCTATCTTGTTTATTAGTCAAGCCTTTATCTAGAACCACTGCATCAATCTGTAAATGCTTACTACAATCTATATTTCACGCTTGAGAAAACAGACTCAATAGAATGTAAAAAGACATAAAAGTGATTATCACCTTCCAATAGAGTCAAATAATAACAAAACAGCACGATACATCTGTTAAGTCTCTGTAGGACTACTCAGTGATGATGGGTCCTTATTGACCTCTAGGAGACGACTGAACTTGTTTTGCTCATATCTCGATAAACGTCAATGCTGTAGTAGACATCCCCTATTTCACAGTCTTAGGTTGCGCTTCTATGCTACAAATGCTCTTTTTCTATATTTAACGAATTCATACATTATGACCTAATCTTTATATCTTCATCAAACTACGTATTAATGGTTACGTGATTTAAATTTCCGCCAATCATAAAAGTGTATTCCATTAAACATATAAAAAAAAAAAACGTTGAATGTGGTCAAAGTTTTAGGTTTAAGGATTTAGAATCGTGCGAAAAACATGTAGGTGAACAGCGTCGTTCAACATAAATACAGAATGATGTACACATGCACATGAAGAGTGAAGCTAAATAATAAGCAACCTTCGTCATTCGGCTGTTTCGTCATTCTAGGACATAGAAGTGACGTTAGAAGCCTAACTTTTGAAACATGGGAGGCGACTGAAAAAGCAAAAATAAAAACTGACCTTTTTTTACAAAAAAACACATAAGGGAATACCAGATCAGATAGTAAATTAACTTATGATACGACATTTTTATCATTCTATGACTCGTCGGTGATACTAAAGGCCTCTGTTTTAGACCTAGGTGGCGACCATGCAAAACAAAAAATGATCGAAAGAAATGTCAAAATTCAGATGAGTTGGTGCATTATCCCCATAATTCTGTTTTATTTCAAATAATTTTCCATATATCTGCCAATTTGAAACGAACATGTGAACCGTGCCACAATTCGAATAAGCTAAAACGTGGGGAATTGGTTACAGCAGTCCTCGGGAACAGTTTCTGCTACTTGTAGTCTCGAAACTTTATACAAAAGACACAAAAGAGAAACTTTTTTTTTTCAATACAAATTTAGAATTACATACAGCGAAATGCATTAAACAGATCTAGTATTCGTCAGTGATGCTGGGGGCTTAAATTTCGAAAACTATCACGCGAAAGGAGAATCAACTCGAACAGCAGTTAAATTAGGATATGTTTTATCGTTATAGAAATTATTATGTCTTCTTAATGGGTTGAGTAATTGCTTGTTGGTTTGATTTATTGCCCGTGTACAGCCAGGTTTATTTTAGGTTGTGCCTGTGGCGTGCCAATTTGTTACAGGCTGCCATTTTTGTAACCAATTTGGCACGTATATTGACGCAATTTTGCGTAACAATTACTATTGTAACAAATTATGACGAACTTGACAGGATTCTGCATGTTAGTTTGTCACAACAAAATCTGTAAGACATTAAGACCTACTTGACAGGATAGTGCGTGCCAACATGTAACAACGTGTCCATTTGGTACAACTACGACAGTTAAGTCCAAATATGTTAAAACAAATGTTCACGTTTTAACAAATTGTCACGCAAACGAATACCTGGTGGCTTCTTCACTTAACAACATACAGGAAGTCCGTCGCATGCAATCCAAAGCAATTAGGACGTACTTCGGATCTTCATCTGCGGGTTAAACAAATAGCACTCATACAGCTATGGTTACTCTACAAAATGCCCGTTAGAAATACGATATTTCATGTCCAACTGACGAACCAATATTCCATGAAACATTGCTATCAAGACAACCCTGATGACTGTGACAAACAATGTTCTTTATAGCTAGCTGACTGACCATACAATGTAGGCGGAATCTCGACATTTTTGTCCATATATTTAGCCATTGAATTAGGATATAGGTTTTATAATATTATCTCAGCAGTCAATTTAGTATCTTACTATAGCTAAATTATCTGACACCTAGCAGATGTTCATGCACTTTGTGACTTTTCACGGTGTTCTAATTTGTGAGGTACAATTCAGTACAAAAGTGCTCTGAGGCTTTGCGAAAGTTATCTTACTTGCGAGAAGGTGTTATCAGTGAGGTAATTATAAACGTTAAACTTATAATATAAAGGCAAAGAAAGGATTTCGGTAACTGTGATGAACTAGTCTTAATGATAGCGAAGTGGTTTTAATTCTTTGGTAATCTTTCATCAAGTTTGAATTGTTATGTAAATAAGCTACGCGTCAATTGTATCTAAATAATTATACATGTGACTTTGAAAACATATCGTCATACAAAATAATCATCATCGCATTTCGCTTTTAACTTTAAAAGAATTGTCATTTTTAAGAGAAATCTATAAAGTAACTGTACTAAAATATTTTAAAGATTCATAATCTGAATTTCATTCCAAACGTCCTGACATGGATTAACATAAAGCTAAGATTTACATATAGTCAAAACTGTCGAAAAACTAGATAAAATTTCAGATAGAATAGAAGTTTTTGTAACAAAACCAATACATTTGATTGTAACGTTTCGATGACTTCACGTCAGTGGCTGATGAAGGTAATGAAAACGTCAGATTCTAATATTCTACTTCTATTCTATTGACATTAAAGACCTAGATGAAAACGTTCTGAATCACAATTTGATGCCATACATCTAGATCGTGTTGCATAGAATGTTTTCAGGTTTGTGTGTTTGTTTTTTCATTATATTTTTGTAGATTTTTTGAAACATGGACTTTAAAACCATAAGTCCATACAATACATCGACACTGTCCATAAACACTATATGCCGATATAATGATACACCAAAGTTTACTAAATTACATTTACCGAATCTGACTTATTTGCATGCCATCTTCTTGTGTAATTTTGAACATGATAACAACGACTATCAATTAATTACATTTTGATGTAAACAATCTGTTTTTAAAACGTTACAGATTTTGTCAGGTTGTAGTATACGTGTTCAATTACGAATAATAAGTTATCAAATTGGGACACCGCCACAGGGAGGATCGGTGGAGGTGATCAATAAGTGGTAGCTACACGCTTCCAGAGCGTGATAGCCGACTCGTCCCTTAGGATTAGATTAACCAACATCTTATGCATTAATGGATCTCATAGTGACGTTAATATTTAGCTGATAATCTCTTTGACCTGTGTTCAAGAATGGAACACGTTGCTAAGGAATGAAGCCGTCCCTGTTCTATTTTCTGTTTCCGATATTCTATATATACCAATATAAGTAATAAATGTATTCATTTTTTTAAAGAATTGCACTACCAGCTAGTATTTCAGTCACATTCAAATTAGTAAACTTTAGACCTCTCATATCGCTGACCAGTCGTTAAAGGAAGAAACAGCTGTGTGCTGCAGTATAGTTCATTGTTTAGCTTTTCAATATCTTTATTATTATTATTATTATTATTAGAAAAATGCAATGTGTGTCTTTTGTGCAATCATTTCTCATAAAAGACATGGAATTAGAAAAATGTTTAGAGACACCCTCTTGTCACAAAAGGCGTCATGCATGGAACCACTCTACACATTTGAGAATACACATAATGTTTCAACATAATGAAACTGTCTCCGTTGAAACGGGTGTTTTTTCTAATTATTCGTTTTCAATGTATTTACTTTCGTGATTTTATTTCATAATCTGAAATAACTAAAAAAAAAACAACGTTACAGTACAGTCTCATCTTAATACTCAGTATAAGTATATATATATCTTATATTATTATCGTGAAATATTTCATGAATATATCATTAAAACGTAAATATTTTAACGAAATTAATCAACAACTTGTCTGATTTTGATTATTTGCGAGTTGGTATAACGGATAATGTATGTCTTCATTAGACTTCCTTTCCACTTTCTCCTTTGCTGGAACAGTTTCCTTGTAAGTATTTCCAAATAAAAAGGTGTGGTTTTCGTAGACAATATATAAAATTTTTCATGTATCCTAAAAATTATATTTAAATCTTTTAAATTTTCGTGGTTAATTTTTTTCCAACAAAGAGAAAATTTTTTAAAAAATCTTTGAAATACCCTTTGCCATACGTATATGTGCCTTTTTATGATCGTAACATTTCGAGATCTTATATATATAAGAAATTCAATTCATTTCATATAGAATTTAATGACGCGAACCTCGGTGAGGCAAGTTTCATAAAATCTCACATGACATGAAAACAAATTAAAGAAACTTTTTATCACATAACTCAGATAAATTACAATTTGAGAGGTTATAAAAATGAAATGTGGAGGGAAATGTTGAGCGGAGGCAATCAATTTGTTGCTCCATTTTCAATTGATGACATGATGTCATTGTCCATATCATATCGGCAAAATCGATTTCAAACTCCCGCTCTAGATGACAGCCGGATTCCTTGATACAATATCATTTAAAATCTGCAATCTTGACACTTAATTGAAGAAATCAATGGTCTTGTTATTATTGTAAAACTCGATGCTAAAGCTTAACTTTCGGGAAAATAGTTTAATTTAAACATGGTTTTGTATATCTGTCATATACATAGGAATGAAGCACAAGAGAGAGAGAGAGAGAGAGAGAGAGAGAGAGAGAGAGAGAGTATGTACGTTTATTTTAGAAAATCATATCACATCATCCTTGCCATATCAAACATGTCAAATTCTCTTCTTGAGTTTATCGGTACTTAAACTGGGACGCAGGGTAAACTTCGGTTGTAAACGGAGTTGTTTATCTGAACATATTTAATCTTCTCTGAACAGGAATGCCAACAACTGTATAAATAGCAGCTGCTATTCGCTTAATTCAGAACAGTATAACAGGCTCGCTGCTTCATAGATTTGAAGGTACGTTTTACAGGTGAAAAATACCTTATAAAAAATGTAACGCAATTTGAAAGATTCTCAAATTTTGTTTGAAATATATTATTTATTGATAAATTTTGAATTTCCTTTTTGTTCTTTCTTTGATCGCCTGGCATAAGATGTCTTCATTGTTCATTGCTAAGACGTTCATGAAGATTTGAAAGAATATGTCTGGTAAATATACTTTATCATACAATGATATTTCTATTTTTGAAATTAATGGAATATTTTGCAGAGTTCAAAATGAAGCAGATTTTGGTTTTAGCAGTCTTGGTGTGTGGTGCATGTGCGATTTCCGTACATGAAGCCAAGAAATTTCATAACAGCGGAACATATGGAGGAACTGTGACGTACAAAGACAATGGGGATGGCACGTACGTAATACCTCAAAGTTAATATTATTGTTATTTGTTTATAAACTTGTCCAATGGTTTACCAAATGTTTGATACAGCCAATCATGTGATACACTTTCCAGAAAAATTGATAAAGGCATTCATCGAAATGTACTGTTGAACAGTTTTATAAAACTGAATCAGATAATGATGATATGGCAGGTAGTCGATCGTTTGTATAGATATGATATTTCTACCGCACCGGAAAGAAATATCCACACTTCCAGTTTCAGTAAAATATTCATATCTTGCCGGTGCTAGACACCTAGCATGCATAGAACACAAACACGTGCTTCTGCTCTTAATACATAAAATGTACATTCGTTTTCTTTCCTTCTTCTCGGAACTTTTTTTTAACAAACTCTCCGTTTTTCACTGTATTGATTTTTGTGACATCACCACTTTCAAGAGAAGTTGTAACCGAAAAAATAATCCTTTCTATATAAGGATCACTCTGACTTCCAACGGTCTCCCCGATCACCCCTTTGAGAGAGTGAACCCGAATCACCCAGAGACCCGTAGTGACGTGTACACCCTCCCTAAAAACCCTACATTTGCCAAAAGCGTAGGATGTCTGGCAATGGGACCGATTGGAATGACGATTACAGGTAAACTTCCGAAGTCTTTGTCGAAAGCCGTAATACACGGTAGATATAAAACCCACGTGTTTGTGATTTTCTTGAGACGGATACATATCGACCAAGAAAGTCCTTTTTAGTATTTTCATCATGATTAAATAAGTATTCAAATTCCTATCTACGTAATATATCCCATCCTATTTTTGTTTATGTCCCTTTTCAAAAGTCAAAAGAGTTGTCAATGAGATGGTGTTCAATTTAATATCAATATTGGGTTGACCTGATGAAATCAGGGTCGTTGGCGACACTGTCTCTCGGTAGATTTTTGACCCTTAGATAATTCCTGATGAAGTATTATCAGTACCTATTTCCCACTCTTAAATAAAAATGAACATATCATAAAGAGTTTACTGAAGAAAAAATAGGAACTCAGAGAGATATGTTTATCAATACATGTTAATAACTTAATATAAAAATTATTTGAAAACCAGGCTCCATGATATACGACCCTCTGGACGCTGACGGAGAAAATGCCGTGGAGGGATCTGGAAGGGAACGATTTGACCACTACGGAGGTCACACAGACAATCACGGGATCTACCACTACCACAAGATTCCAGGGAGCTGGATGTACACTGGAGAGGTAAACAACGGGTCTAGTGGAGCTACAGAGGGATACAATAACATTGTTTCAGGGGGTTCGTGGTCAGGTCGGAGGGTGCATGTTTTGACAAGATAGAGGTGAGTAGATGAAAAGACTAGAGTAGGTGTGTGACAAGATTTTAGAGAGAAGATGAAAAATTTGAAGGATGGAAAATTATACGAGTATATGAGGAAAAACCAGGCAAATACTGCTACAATAAATGTTATAGAGGACAGACATTCGATCGCACGTATGGACGGACAGGACAAATACTGCATAATGACGGGCAAGAATCGTAGCGTGACAAAACGAAAATTGCATTCAAAGAAAATCTTTAAGATTCGTTAACAAATTAAATTTCAGTGGTGATCTACTCGCCTCTTACTTTAGGTAGCAGGAATCAGTTCATCAACATTTGAAATTATTGTTCATGTTCGAGATATGCAGGTATAGCAGTTTAGTTATGAAAAAATACATTATTGCAAGTTTATATATTCATAAACTGCATAATAATTACATTAACAGACGAGAGATAAAATTAGTGTAAATAAAAAAATTCCTCTGATTTCTGACATGTGATTGCCATGGTTACCAACTGAAAAACCGCTAAATAGAAGTAATTTATTTATGAACCCCTTTCTTCAAATCAACAAACCAGCGTAGACACAGATTCGAGACAGTCCAAATAGTAAACAAGCTAAAATATTGTTCTTAAAAAATGAAACCCACATTGTCCACTTCAACATGACAAGACCAATTTTAGCAAGGATTTAATTTTTTAATTTTAATTAAAACCTTTATAACGGGGTAATCTAATGAACAAAAATAACACCCATGGCCACACCAAGAAACTGTGTACTGCTACCTTACTAACAATACACGCACTTTTTATCAAGGCTATCGATCGGGCGTTAACAGGTGTTGCGTCCCTTGTCGTTCATGGGGCTTTTCCCTTGAAATTCCGATTTCCTCCCATATAACGACCCCTCGCGCTCTTCCTTCCGGGCCAACAAGAGTTCCGCAATAGTGTCGTAATATTAATAAAGATTATATTGGAGAAATTAAATATACACAAATGTACATGTTTATCTTGCACAGATGTTTGTTCGATAGATTGATGGAAATACTTTATTGAACTTAGGAGCATAATTTAACATTTGCTTCTTGTTCATAATTAGGCTGACGAACTCCTTGGAGTCGCTTTTGATGGATTCCCAATCTACGGACCGAAGGCATCCGATCTCGGACGTGACGTCACAAATAAAGATCTTGATAAATGTCACGGACGAATGGTGAATGGGAAATACAGATACCATGTCAACACCGAGTTCCCTTACTATCTAGGTTGTTACAAAGGGAACCCAACACATGCCAACCACGTTCGTACTCAACATGGTATCTGTACGAACACTTCCTGTAAGTTAGACATGCGTATTCATCATTCCAGAACTAATTCCGATTACCTTCCATCCGATGTTAGGAAATACCTTCCGATTTCTTTAATGTGATGAATGATTAAAATTTTTCTTTAGATTTAATAAGAGGTGAATCTTTTGGCTAATGTAAATGGAATTTTGTATTCTAAATAATGACAACTAAAAAATAAAGACCACAAAAACAAAATATCTCTCTGCTTCTGGTTGACATAAAGATTCCATCGAATTCAATTCAATTATCTGTTCAGATATTATGTTAGAGATTTAACCCTTGTTTCATATTTATATCTGTATCACAAATGAGGTATTGCGTTTTCATGTGATAAATTTACTTTATTTTAAATGTTGTGTCATATTGCCAAATTCGCACCTCCTACAAAGAAGAGTTCCTTTTATTTGCTACTGACAATTATAACATCAGATGACCATATTTTACAATTTTATGAAATTCTTTATTAGAAATAGAAAAAGGTATTTCCAGCATATCTTAGCTAAAACATTTGTTGTGTATTTGCGATACTGTGTTAATTTGGATTGTCTCCCTTGTCATAGATATTATAGTTTGGGATAACTAGAAAATTAGCAGCATCTTCTCTTGATACGGTAGCCACATTATTTCTTTCTTTCTTCCTTCCTGTCTTTCTTTCTTTCTTTTTTTAGGAACATGATAAATTCTGTATTTTGTTAATGTACTTACAAAATTAAAAGCTATTTGATCAGATCATATAAATTAAATTTTAATCATTATCAAAGACAAAATTTCTTCTCTCTTTCTTGCATGGATATACAAAATACATAGTTTCTTTAAATAGGATTCCTTGGAACGGGAATAAATGATGACAGAATCCCAAATCGATGTGTTTGAACACTGCGCAGATTCCCAGCACGTTGTACCTGTGTTACTTTTGTAGTTTACAGACGCCGTTTTGAATACTTAAAGAAATAGGGGAAGCACATTTTTGTCGTTTCAACCACTTTGTCTCTTGGACTTTCAAATTTTCCTTAACTCAAGGCATAGGAGAAGGCACTTCCAATCTGCAAGATATATCCGAATTTATATGCTTATTTTCTTCTAATTAGTGCAATATATTAACCTGTGTATTCCTTATCTTAACTGAAGTTGATTTATTTTGATGCTATCATCTTCTAGCTCTTCCCGAATACGGATACGTATGCGCATGTCCGAGAGGCCAACACCCTCCCCCTCAAGGACACGGAACAGGAGTGTCCGGAAACCACCATCACCACCTTGGAGGACTTTTTGGTAGATAGATTTGGAGAGTGTCTGGACCACTAGCTCGCTTTATAACCATTTAGTGGTTATAATATCCTACGTTCGGTCGTTTATTTTTTGTTAAACAGCTGTGTTTACAATATCAACTAACAATAATAAATATTCTTATAACATAAACAATGGACAATTTATGATTTCTTTATAATGATGAAGTAATTAACCGTCTGTTAATCTTCTTCGTATTTGGGTGTACTTAATAAAGAAACGCAATTTCACGATTTGTTGAAAAACAGAAAAGTATGACTTCATTTTTGCAACCACCATGAAGTTTACCCTATGTAAAAATAGAAATGAACATTATTATATTATTATTGATTATCCAAAAAGCAAAAAGGTTGAAAACTGCATCAAAATCGGCCGGCCCAATACCGAGATAATGACGTGTAAAGTGTACGATTTTCACCTTTCCTACTACTAATCGTCCTAAGGGTGATCTGCGCTGAATGCAACCCTTTTGGCTGTGACTTCACAAGTTCAGGAATAGGCGAGGATGAGTACAGCCATACTATGTAACGTCAGATTGCAAATGGATGTTTTATAGTCTTGAGGAATTAGATAATTCTGATGATAACAGCCATATGAAATTTGCCAGAATTTATCAAACAGTTGTCGATTTAAACATATTTATTATCAACCTTAGAACAAGGGATGAGGAACATGTTATTACAACTTTACATCTTCTCCAAATATTTACAACATTCGGAATTGCACAGTAATTTCTTTCACGGAAACATGCATATATCTTCAATAATGATAATTTTTTAAAATCAAAATCTGTTACTAGACTTAATGCACATGTCTGAAGATATTTGAATTAAAAGCTATTTAGTAAAATGAGAAATTCTAAACAAACTTTTAGATCAAAATATTCTTTTAATTGGTATAAATATGACACTATGTTTTCACATATCACATTATCCACAAGTATTGACCAGTGATTCAAATTGAAATGAAACAGACGTCTCAAGGGTAACGAAAACTGCTGGCATCGTATACATTTTATGAGCACTGTTGATGATTTTTCGGATTTCGTGACAGAACCAAATTATAAAAAAACGTTGTTCCACTACATTCCAAAAAATACATAAATATATCGATTAAGATATCTAAGTATTGAATGATGTTATGTTTAGGTTTATGGGGGATGAACCTCAATAGGTCTTAGGACAAATTTTATATTATATTGATATATTTGTATAGGTTAACCATTCCTGCAAGATTTGGATGAATAGGGACTTGTACAAGTCTACCACGGAACTTATCGAAATGTACTTTGTCACTCTTTCGACTTTGCGAACGAATAAAATATATTGTCCGATACTTAGCGAAGCAATTTCAGTTAGTGACGGTAAAAAGGTATGAAAAATGTATTCATACGCGAACGTAAAAAAGTAAATTGAAAAATGACTTGAGTAAACTTTAGTAGGTTCATTGAGTTTGGGTTTAGTGGAAATATATAAATATTTCTACATGACTTCAGCGTTAGTGTCTGCTGCTTTTGATTAATATGATGTATGACATTACATATAAATCTTAATGACAGATTGACGTCATTGTAATTCCTACTGTTAGGTCGGCAATTTAAATATTTCATCTTAATTACAGTTCTCGGGTATGAGATGCTTAATCATATCACCTACTCAAGTAGAATATTTCTGTAGTTTTTGTTTTCTCCATATATATACAATATACACAAGCTATGATTTAGCATATTGATTTATTAATTAAATTATCTCGGTCCACTCACTGAGTCTACTTAGATGTGTACCGTTAAATAACACTTAACACACCTGTGTCACGTGCTGTCACGGCAATAAGCTCAATATACACCTTTATATCTGTGTTAATGTATGACATCAAAGTGATGTCAGTAGGTGGGTAAGGAGTAACCTAAACTGAAAGCTAGTTTGTAGATTACTGTAGGTTATGCGCTTCATATTTCCCATTTACGACGATGTCCTCAGTCATGATAACGTGTAGATGTATCAGGACCACTTTAAAAAAATAAATGAATGAAACGCGTAAGCCACGTCGGTCGGTTCATTGATACATAACTTATCTTTGTGAGAATTCTACGAACAGTTCTCCGTCTACAAAATTCTTTAATTTGGTTTGTACATTAAACATGTTTTACTTCCTAAGATTGCCTCATTGAATAAAGCATAAAAATAACAAAATGATCTCCTTCCCATACCTCTGATTAGTACAAATATTTCAGATAGATTCTGTCACAAGAGCTAACTACTTATTCAAATTGCTTATGGTTTTATAGCTGCAGATTAAAATTACATTGTGTTACTGCTCATTAAGAATACAGATTTTTGTACTGATATATTTGTTCTAAATGTACACAAGAAGTTAAGCAGTAATGTGTTTTTCAGCTCTACTGTTCCTTGACTATTTAAGTCTGTGTACTCGAAGACTGGTGTCATTTGATCAGTTTCTGTCAAAGAGGTAGAAAATAAGGCCATTGTTTCCGTCACGGTTTACCGATCTGCAACCAGCTTCATTTTAAACAGAACTAGGTTTTTGCTCAAACTTGTCTACCTCACTATTAAGACCACCTCGCTGTTAAGCCCACTTTTGTCCATTCCCCAAAGTGGTCTTATCAGCGAGGTTACACTGCATGTCCTAATTCTTTATTTGTATTTAAAGGCGCTATTCTTTACGCTCTAAACTGCCTAAATTCACATAAATTCCCCGCTATCATTATGAGACTTAACTTCAATCCGGCTTGGCACGTTTCAGCTTATTTGAAATAGGAAAATCAGGAAATATATTGACTTATGGGGCTATTGTACCTCCTACTCTAGATTTGGCTCAGTCGCCTCTCAGGCTTCATAATATAGGGCCCTAACATTATTGACAAGTCCTTTAAGGACAAAACAGCTATGTGATGCTGTTTGATTTGTTGTTTAGCTCTACTTTATCTAACTCTTGATTTGTATTTAGAGATTCTAATCACTTGAACTTCTGTTGAATGTCGATAAAGTCGATCGAGGTGAAATGTCGTAATCTTCATCATGTCGTCGTCGGCATTGACGGCACTCAGGGCTGATTGGATATGAAAATAAACATTTCTAAACCAGTATTTACAAGGGGTATTTCATTAGATATTTCTAATTTGTAGCGTCAAAATTTCAACAGACTGGTATTTTGCGGGAATGCTTGATAACGTTGGCTCCCATGGAGTCAAAGCAATGCTAACCCGCACGACTGATCTTCTTCAATAATACTGCATGTTTGGTCATACTGTTGTCCATCACTCCAAGTTTGCTTAGGAAACAGTGTATTTAAAGCTATTGGTGAGGTTGTAACATAGGTCATTTTGTATTTCTGCCTGTATTATTGCTCTGCTAGGGTTCGAACCCGGGACATTTGGTTTACTAATCTGATGCTCAACAGCTTTGGCTAAAGAGAAGCTCTCTCTAGCCAAGCGGTATATTGAAGGTAGTATTTTACCAGTGTTACATACTCCCCTCCAATACAATACAAAGAAGTGGACATTTGTAAACAATGAAAAATGGAAAATTTATGACATATCTCCTGCGGATTTTGAAATCATGTAGACCAGATTTTTCCTTGGTAAGTATAACGGAAATTATCAGAAAATGTTGTTATCATTATGTTTATTGTACATATATTGATTGAAGCAAACCTATAACATATTTAAAACATTGAACATGCATAAAACTTGCAAACTATTTACATATTAGTATATAAAACAGGTTTTAATATGATAAATAGATAGTGTTTTTATTATTTCAGGTGGAGCCCTATACGGATGACCGAGGCGTTATTACTATTCAATATCAAATATAATCTATGAGTAAACATTCTATCTCATTTATTATCCAACATTGAAACTAGTTGTCACAATTAATATTCATAGACAGTATTTTGTTTCATATCACAAGATAGCTTAGACGTATACATGTTACATGTCGTTAATGTAAGGACACAACCACTCCAAAATACGGTGTAAGGATTTTGTATTATCGTTTTTCTGTAACTAAGGAGCTTTAAGTGTAGACCGTAAATTGATCTATAGAAATTCAGATTATTAAAACTATTTTGATTAAGATGTTCTTTTAGACATTTGTGTAGTTTTTGCGTTCAAGTATGAATTATTTGCAACCTAAATGTACCCTTCATAATGTGTTCAGCTGTATGCTAACATACCTTAAGTCGTTATTTACTTATACCACTGCGCAACATGCGCCATTATTCATAAACGCTATGTAAAATTCTTTATATATTCACTTCACGTTAAACAGTCGTCGGTGTCTGATAATATACGACCACTCTACCATTTGTACATTTGCATGTAAAGTATTCTACCTATTGTAAGGCGATACCCCTTCGATGACCTTGTCTTACATACTTGACCTCCTTCACGTAGTATATTCATTTTGTGTAACTGTAGCCGACACCCTTTTGTTTGAAAAATGATTACCTAGTGCGAAACGTATTGCATGGCTTGGTATATGTTGTTTGAGAACAGGTGTATGAAATTCGTTTGGCAATTCATCAAAATAGAATAGATTATTACCATCATAATTTAAAGTCATCATCATACTTATTGTCGTTCTCGGTATTATCATCAACCCATTACAGAATAGGTAAGCACAAAGTTAAAAGGTTGCTACACAATTTCTGGTTACACTTCCTTCCAGGAGGGCACTGTATATTGACAATCTATCGTAATTTATTATAGTTAATGTCAACTCACTAGGATAGAAATTATCATAGCCAAACTACTTTACTTCTCGATGCCAAAATTGACGCCTTCAGATAAAAGTCCTATATGAAGCATGTTAACACTACCGTAGGAAATGTACGATATGGTAAGGAATCGGTCGATTGTACGATAATTTTAAATACACTAAGGTATAATATATTGTAAATAGATGGCGCAAACGTCCTGGTGTTTCTTTTTGTTTACGCTTTATCTAACATTTGGTCATAACTGTGCCAGAGTCTGTGGATCCAGTGATGACCATCCACACCAGCTGCCTGAAGGGGTTATTTTTCCAAACAAGATTTCGATAATTTTTTTATTCATTGATGTATCACAATGATAAATCGATACTTGAATAAGTTAACAGAAAATAACATAACCCATAATTTCAATACACAAATTCCTGTCTGCTTGTAAATATTGGTAAAATTCGTCAAAAAAATAATCAGCGAAAGAAGTTATGTCAATGCTAATGACAACAGATGAATGACTTCGAATATTCCTGAAATGTATTCAACTAGTGAATTCATTATGTTGGCAATACATGAGACAATGGACACATTTTCACGCGTCAAAAGAATACTTTAGCAGTAAATACATGAACGATTCGCAAGTCCAATGGGATATCAATGTCTTTTTTATCTGAAATAATTCCGAAAATTTTGTATATCGATTAATGTTTCCGTTGGAAGAATCTCTGGACACTTACATAATAAAATCAATATTGTGCTTTACAATACATGAAATATATTCATTTGTGATATCGTATAATTCTTTGTCCCTAGTAGTCATCTTTGTTAGAGTGAGTGACTATTTCCGTCACCGTTTCCATTGTTACAGTTCCTGACACAGTAGGGATTACTCTATCGTCTGTGGGGAAGGGTTTTGCTGTTTTCTTGAACCGCTGTACCACAATTCCTAAAATTGAGGCGACTGTGATGCAAGATCCTTCAATAAAGCAAATATACCAGTATTTAGTAATATACAATTATGAGTGAACATTAGTTATATTGTACAAACTTCCAAGTAATGTCCAATACATGATATCGTGAATCTGAGATGCATTCAGTTATTTCAAAATATCACACTTATGTGAAAACAGATATTTCAGATAAATGAAAACACCAGTAGTAATAAATAGGGCTTTATTCACTTACAAAATTAATATGTTAAACAAATTGAATCTCACCCGCAAATAGGAAGGAATTTTCATACGACCCAGTATAGTCGATGATCGCACCTTGAGACAAAAAAGATGATCTCTATTAAATGCAACTAAGATGTCAATATTTACCTTCCAAAATTAAACTGTGCGACCTATCCCAAAACAAAACATGAAAGTTTGGTGACACAATCTAATGTAGTATGACAGGTGCACAAGGAAATGTACATTTATTACAGTGTAATACATTATGGTTTGTTTGTTTATAATTTGTAAGGAGACATATCTACCTGCGATTACAGGTCCAATGGTTGAGCCACAACCACTAAAGAACAGGTATAGTCCAAGGCCTGTGGCTAAGTTTTCTATCCCGAGAAGATGTATAATCAATGAATTTATTAGAACGGTGTAACAACCGGAATACAATCCAAAGAAAACTGCATACGTGAGTCGGCCTCCATATGTAGATGCGTACAATGGGAAGAACAAAGTTGATAAGCCGAGAAGACCAAATGTTCCAAAATAAATCACAATTTCGTCTATATTTTCGTCTTGGGTGGCAAATCCTACCAATATCCGCGATATAAAGTCAAGTATTCCATAAACAGAAACAAGAAAAGATGCATCCATAGACGACGATCCCTTTTCTATTGCATAACGGGGAAGATGCACGTAAACAAGACTAATTCCTAAATTTGAGAAAAACAGGCTGACACATAAACAAAGTAATGACTTGTGTTTCAGGATCCTGAACGATTCTAACATATTGTTTAAAACTGTCATATTGTTTTTGCATGTCATGTTTTGATATCTGATTTTTTGTCTCGTTTCCAGTTCTGACGGGAAGAACAGACTACAGAACAGTGCTTCCTGTAACGCGATGCCGGCAAGGATAAAGAAGAATCCTGTATTTCCATATTCTTTCCGAGCAGCCTCTGCTACCGGAGCAAGGACGAGGGTGCCAATTCCAACCCCTGACACTGCAATTCCATTAGCTATTTTCCTATTGTGGTGAAAGTTATATCCAATGATTATATAGGCACTGGAATATACCAACCCTGACCCAATGCCTGAAAATGGATCGTCTCAGCTAATTATTGTTCAAAATCTTAAAGAGGAAGCGTTTCAATCATTGAGCGATTTTATCACCTAAGACTGTATCTTAAGTCTCATTTTAAAGTAGATTTGTATTATCAAGAAGTATTCTTTTATTCAAACATCTAGGGTATGTCAATATTGAGAAAGAAAGTCATTTTTGCTAATCTTCGAATGGTGCAAAGATTTTCAAACCAATATCAGATACTTGTGGATGTATACTGAGAGGAAAAAGAAACGCAATTAGCAGAAAGTTAATATTTTAAATTAAATCCTTGATATACACCCTTGAAACTTAACAAATGTGTGCATTTCAGTTAGGTTCCTATGGTATCGTATTAAAATCACTGATGCATAACTAAACTATGCACGCCGCTTGTACAAAAGAATTAGGGACAAAAGCACGATATCTCGAAGCCAGTATAAAGGATTGGTTCAAAATCTGTGTGTGCGAATCTTCAGACATATCCGTCTTTGTTTCTTACATTTTAAGTATAAACAGTTCACCGTAAAAAAAATGCCACGACTGTCCGAAGTTGACAGGGGTCGTGCCATTGGACTTCTTATGCAAGGTACCCCGCACAATCAGGTCTCTAATCAATTTGGAGTTCATCTATCGAACATTTGCCGTCTCATCCAAAGACTAAATGCCACCGGAAGGGTTGCATATCTTCTCCGAAGCTGTAGCCCTCGTGTGACGACGCGTCACAGGATAGGTCAATGCGACTTTCGCACCTACGCAACTGCTTTCTGACGGTCACGGAAACAGCAAGGAACACAAGTCCAAAGACAGTGCGTACTCGACTGCGTGCCTGCGGTCTAAGACCGCGGCGGCCATATGTTGGACCACAGCTTAATGTGCGGCGACGTGACAGACGAATGCAATGGCTGAACGCACATTCCATAAGACGCTTCCCAATGAAACGTTGTAGAAGGGTCATGTTCTCAGATGAGTCCAGGTTTTTGCTTTACCGGGCAGACGTCCGACGTCGTGTCTATAGACGTACCCACGAGCGCTATGCAGATGCTTGCGTGATAGAGAATGACCTCTTTGGAGTAGGATCGGTCAAGGTATGGGGAAGGATTGCGCATGGTATCAAGACTCCTCTGGTCGTTATTCAGGGAAATCTCACGGCCGTCCGCTATAGAGATCAAGTCCTAGCGCCGCATGTTGTTCCTCTAGTACAGCAGCGTCAACTGACATTTCAGCAGGACAACGCCCGGTATCATGTAGCGAGGGTTTGCCGTGGTTATATCGCAAACAATGTCCCCACCAATGGCCCCTATACAGCCCTGACCTCTCCCCAATTGAACATTTATGGGACGAGTTGGACAGAAAGACAAGGCCCAACGACGATGAACACGGGTCAAGTTACGCCGATGATTACGGTGACGTCGCAACAAATTGGGTCTAGTGTAGGGACGCCGCGCTTTCAATTGGTAGGCCCTCAACCTGTTGCGGACTGTTTGGGGAGACACACGACGCCCAAACAATGTCCTTGTAGTCTCTAATGCGGTTACGAATCGATTGCGCAAGTGTATCAATCGTATACGACGGTCATCCCTGGCGGTCGTTTTACGGTGCCGCTTCGGGGACGATCGGATGTTGACCCAGTTTGGTTTAAACGACTTACCAACTGGCAAATTGTCTTAACACTACAACCAAAATGCTGTGCAACTCGACGGCGAGACTCCCCAGCCTGGATCATGCCTACAGCCCTTTCTCTCTGTACTTGTGACAGTCGGGGAATAATGATAAAGTTGATAAATAACAAGATTCGGTGATTTCTAAGTCCTAAGGAACAGTTGTCAGTTTGAATGTTTATGAAATTCAAGCAAAGATACAAGTTAGTCCCAGAAAACCTCGTGCAGCTCTTTCGCTAATACAGATTTTCACGCTTGAATGATTTTGGTAACCCCTTGAATTTTGTAATGTAAAACATTACCATTTTCTAATATTGCACAAACGTCATTTTGTTTTCACTCATTTACAGGTATTGGCCAAGGAAACATGTTAACCTTTCTTTTTTTGTTGAGTATATATATTGATTTGACGTCAAGTCATTACAATCTTTCAATAAACTACGATTGAGTGTTAGATGATGTAACATTAAGTGTTGCCGCATGTTTACACTAGGTTGCACGAGCAAATCGTACCGAAAAGTTATTGTACATACATCGGTTATAAAACAGTGATCAATTCGTATTCACCTTAATGTCTTTTAATGGCAAAAAATATCACATTTTATGATCCTTAACTTTTTGTGTCTAGTAAATATGTGTATTTCGTGGAAATGTGACGAAGATAGCAAACAAATAAACTATTAGAAATATTTCACTCTCGTAGTTTTACTGAGATCAACAACATAACAACTATTACCTACATAAAACTCAGTAACGATAAATTATTACATTTTTACAGACATACCTCGTTTAAACAAGAGGCCCAGAGGGCCTGTATCTCTCACCTGGATCTTTATGACCAACAGTACTATATCTGTGCATATGTTCCACAGTAAATGCTTAAAGCAATATGACAAATTACTCCATATGGGTTCTGTCCCTTAGTAGTTAGCCCCCTCATCTGTGCAATGTTGAATTGAGACTTTCTTATGATGTTTTCAGTTAAAATAAAATTGATGGATTTCTTTTAAATCAAGGAAAGAAGATGGTCAAACAATATAGCAGAAACACTCTTAGTTATAGCTGGACGGATTACCCAGGACAGCAGAAGCTTACTTGCCCTTTAGGTCATTGTTTACAAACACAGATACAACATATTTGAGACTTGCAACAATATATAGCAACAGTTAAATATAAAGACAGGAAAAATAAGGTACATGTAATTATAAACCATAATCCTAACTCAAAACCAATAATAAAGTGTTTCATACATATAATTAGTGATGTCACCATGGTCAGTTAAGCCCCGGTTACTGGAAATATACTGATAACAGTTTACTGTAGGCCTATAAACACTGCATAGCAAATGGGATCAACTTAGAGTTTCTTATTTATTTATGCTATAATTATGAAGAGACTTAAATCAAAATGAAGCTCTTGCAATTCTCTTTCCGGTCATGTTTTCCGTATTTTAATGCTGTGAACATAAGAAAGTAACTAACATGAAGTTTTTCACATTCTTAGCTTAAGCCTCTCAGACCTCCAGGGGGCTTGGCCTAATCTATTTTTTGAACAGTGTGAACTCTATGTGAAAGGTGTTTATAAGTTATTCTAGATTATGCCAAGAAAATTCCCTACCAAATATATTCCTTTAATAAGTCATTGAAAGGTTCTTCATATTTGTATATAAGCCTTTGTGAAACTTTTACTGGCCAAATATGATAGCCTTGGGTCAATCAGAAGTTAATGATTTTACCAAATTTTACCCCAGTGACCTAAATATTTTTTGGGGTCAAGCTATTTTTCACACACTATGCGGGCACCATAAAGGGAACCTTTTGGCCAAATATTATGATTTCAGGCCTTTTGTTTCAAAGGTTTAACGCATTTGACCGTTGTGACCTTGAATATTGGTCAAGGTAATTTCTTTTCTCAAATATTATCGAGCATCATTGAGAACCTAATTTGGCATAATATCGCTATCCTAGACATTTGGTTAGTCAGAAAAAGTCATTTAAAGGTTTAACATATTTGACCCCTGTGACCTTGAGAAAAACAGGCTGACACATAAACAAAGAAATGACTTCCGTTTAAGGATAGAGAGCGGATGAAAGATATTGTTTAAAACTGTCATAATGTTTTCACGCTTCATGTTTTGATATCTGATTTTTTGTTTCGTTTCCAGTTCTGACGGGAAGAACAGACATCCGAACAATGGCAATAATGAAGAAAAATCATGTATTTCCATATTTTTCCCGAGTAGCTTCTTCTACAGGAGCAATGACAAGGGTGTAAATTCCAACCCTGACACTGCAATACCAATAGCAATGTTCCTCTTGTGATTGAAGTTATATCCAAGAACTTCCTTGGCGGCGGAAAAAATGGATCATCTCTGTTAATCATTGCTCAAAAAGGAATGTGTTAATCAATTTAATTGATTATAGTATGTCTTGAATCTGATCTTCAAGCAAATTGGCATTATCAAACTTGTTTTTGTAATATCCAATGTCGAAAAGATATTTGTCACTAATGTCACTGATTAACAAAGAGAGCGATTGTTGTTACTGAAGACGTAGTATATTGAGCTTACCAGAAAGTACCCAAAAAAAACGAAAGCACAAATTATAAACCCAACAGACATAAGGAACACTCTGATAAACATGGTTACACGGCAGCTGAACCTTTTAATCAGGACACTTGCCAGAATACCTGAGAGGAATAAAACAAGTAAATGCAATTAATATGCAATGTAATGGTGGTTGGCTATTAAATTAAATTAAATTTAATATGTAAATGTAGCCCCTGTAAATACCAAATGGTACGTTTTGAGGTCTACCGACTCCGAAAAGCAGTCTGGCATATATAGATTAATGTTCTATTGCTAAGGACGTCCAAAGGTTATTGGAGTTTAATATAGATTTTTGAAAAAAAACACATACGACGAACTCGTTGTAATGGTCATATCTCCTTGAAAGGTAGGTCAAGAACGAAGAGTGGAGTCGGAGACTGAGACCAGTTAATACAGTGGTTATCTTGAAAACATGTTACTGACAGGTAAACACATAAACTTGAAAACATGATAAATAAAGTTGGTAACATTATGAGCGATGTAGACACACACTACTTTACTATTTTATATATATACCTACTTGGATGACACCACAGACCACACTGGTCACTTGTCTGATGAAGGTGACCGTGTAGTCATCGAACTGTTATTGTTCTTTGTAATATATGTAAAAGATCTAGATTAATCTTTCATGGTGCTTTGTAAGTAAAAGATGATGTCAATAAGGTGTTAAAGCAATACATCTCAATATGTATTTGCCTTCATGAATGATATTGCTGTGACAATTACTAGATGTTCTATTCTATATTCGTCCTTATCTTCCTACTGAGTAACAAGTTTATCATCTATGTCTACAAACTCCTTTAATTAAAAATCACCAACTGCATTTTCTTCCATGGCGCTTAAAATCTGACGCTTAATTATTGCCTTTTGTCCGTTTGCAATACTGAAAATATGTAGGACATACTTTTGAAAACAAACACAAAAGTTTCAGGTATGATGGTTTACGTGTAAACGTGTTGTGAACATTAAAAAATTATCAAGACAAGGCACACCAAAATATACAAGACAGTGATTTCGGAGGGTTAAGCAATGCCATTATTCATTACAACTTATGAGTAGTGACTACATTCCATTTTCGTCTGCTTATAACATGTTGGTGCTGATAAATGTAGTTTGGGGCTTATCATATAAATGATATTCTCTTTTCATATAAAATGTAGGTTCAATGTTCTATCTTAGAAAAGGTATTATTCATTTGTTTGTCTTTTCTAAATATCTGATATATTGATATGAAGATGACTTTTTGTTTTTATCTATATCGAGGAAGAAGATTGTTGTTAACGACTAAACTTATTATTTTTGATTTTGTGAATCGTGTTACGTTACGGAATTAACGTACAGCAAATAAAACCCAACATCTAGGTTAAAATTCGACAATTTAATAACAACAAATAAATTATTTACAGTAAAAATACAAATTTTGCGATGATGCACAGAGCTAGCTACTAATTAATCAAAAATCAGAATATGGTAACCGAAGAATAATCCAACACTTGTGTCCTCGCTGGGTATATGTATGTGCAAATCCACAAGGCACTATCACTAAATCACTGTAAAAGTCCACACTTAACAGACTGAAGTCTCAAAGTAAGCTCACTTCAGGCGTTAACACTTCAAAAGGCTGCTCAGCCTCATTCCATCAGGTTTATATACTCTGATGGTTATTAGAAAGTTCCTTTATAGATGATTCTAGACTAACAGGTACCTAGCTTATTTACATGCGTCATTTTTAAACTTCCGGAAACACACAGGTAATTCTAATAACAGAGCTTTCTAGATTTAGAAACTTCCGGACATACACAGGTAATTATAATAACCGAGCATTCAAGAAAAATCTGCATAGCACTATCTACACATATTGTAGCAAATAATCATAAACATGTTTTTTTGATGTAAACAATCAATATGACAATGCATGTAAACACAGCACCTCTGAATTTGGATTAATACACAACATTTATACATAACCACATAAAGGAAACGATATATCTCGTATAGATCCAGATGAATGGTTAAGGTCAAAGAGGTAAAATTTGTTCATTTAACTTGTTGATATTTTGGTATGACATTTTGACACAAAGTGCCTAAGACATATAGATATCATGTCAAAATGTCAAAGTAATCATGTCAAATGTTGCTGAGCTCATTCGTTTTCTCAAATGTCTAGATATATTCAAAGAAATTTTGAAACCAAGTTCAGAATGAGAGATCTTGCAACACAAGAGTGTTACAAGCAAATCAGAGGTAAAAATCAACCTCAATGGTTTTCTGTTAGGCATATATATCGATATAGATATAGTCAAACATCAATGTATCAAATTTGTTGATCCGTTAACGTTTATACTTTGTTTTATTCAAAACAATATTTATATATATATGCTGCAGAAATAACTCATCCGTAAAACAAAATAGGCCGCCTCTGGCGCAGTCGCTAATTCACATGGCCAGCTACCTAATGATGTCGAGCTATACGGTGACGGCGTGTGAGCGGGTCTCTGAGGGCGTAATCCAAAGTCTTTATGCAGACATTCGTCTTCTAGTTGCTTGTTTAATTTTCACCCTGCGTTACATGATCTGTTGCCTCATGTAGGTTGTACGAGCAAATCGTTACTGAAAAGTGATTGTATAGACATTGGTGATAAAACAGTAGTCAAGGAGTATTCACCTTAATTTCTCCCATCATTCACAGACTTGTCACCCGGTTTACTTGTTCAAGATTTCTCTGTCAACCCCTAGGGTATAATTTTCTATCAACCTCTATGGTAAACAAATAGACATTGACGAATTTACCAATAGCTCAAAACCATGTTTGAAATAGGAGACACTGTCAGCATGGGATCATGGAAATATGGAAGAACTCAATGTTGTCGATGTAGATGTACCACTTCTTCATCTACGTCTGACATTTCCGCTACTGTTCTTCATTCTCCTAATCCATCGTGTGACGAGAATTCCTACCTCCGGTCCTCCATGTCTACAAGAGTTGCCTCCCCTCCCCAACCCGTCATGCTCGACAACAGTGATAACTTTCGTTTTATTTCAATATATCAGAGTGACGTATCAGACTTCATATCAGAACAAGAAAATAAAATACACTTTAAAAAACTTGAATTAACTTAAATTGATTGTGACAATTCCTCAAATCCCAGAATGAACTCCGTGATATACATGAGATACCACCTATTGAACGAAACACTCATTTGTCAAAGTTTTTTTTCTACGTGAGGCAAAAAGATGGCAGTAACTATCAACCAAGCTACTTACGTGGTATGATGGGGTCGTTCTAGAGACACGTCAGAAGGCATCGGTATGGGTCTGGACTCGTCATTGGCTATGCCTTTTCGGGAATGAGAGAGGCCAAAACAGAAGGACCTCAAAAACAGGGTCATGGAAATCGCCCCAGGGCTGCTGATAGGGCTGAGGATACCGACAAAGATAAACTATACGAGCAAGGACAGCTTGAGAACGACACACCGATATCACCTCTTAATACGTTAAACAATACATTACATTTTGGGATTAGGGGATGGGGTGAGGAACATAGATCATTCTGCTTGTGGGACATCGAACTGTAGTATGACAATGAGACACACTTGGAATACTTAGCGTACAACGAACGACAGACCAAAACGCGCACAGGGGTCGACATCAATAACAAAGGGAAAGTAAACCAAGAATGTACGCAACACCAGAAAACAAAGAGAGATGTCCAGTCGAAACCTATAAAATAATTAGTGATACGAGACCGGCTAACTACTGCAACACAGGATCATCCTATTTACCTCGCCCCAGTCACACACATTACCAAACCAAATCCTAATGCCCAATGGTTTCTCCGCGTTCCCATCGGCAAACACAAAATGAGTCAACTAATAAAAAACAAAGATTAAAAAAGTAATCTTGAGGGAAACGAAAACAAAAGACTGACCAACACAAGCGTCAGAAAACATGTATGTCAAAAACTGTTGGAAAACAATGTACCAGACACACAGGCTATACACATTGCCGGTCACAAAAATTCGCAATCTCTCAATAATTATCGCCAGTTGAACAATTTCAAAAAGCAAAAAATGTCAATTATATTGTCAAATTCTACATCAAGTGACATTAGATCCATTAGCAACAATCATGACGTCGACAATCGTGTTCGTTCAAGACCTTCCTCTGACATGCAGCTCTCTCAAATGACAAAGACACATAACAGCATTTCCGTGTCAAATCCACAGGATGAAATGATGAGATCAGTGTTTTACACATCAACAATAACTGGAGGAACATTTAACATCCATATGCACTGTACAAACACTTCGAATGAAAAAAGGAAACGACCTCGTGTTGTGTACTCTGACAGTGAATGAAGTCGCACGTGCGCGACAAATGCAAAATCCCGCCTCGGAAACACTTTGAAGGCACAATCTTTCAGAAACCTTGTAAAGATTTAATAATATTATGACTTGTGTAAATTTATTACTGAAATCTTTCAATTAAATGTAGAGGTTTTCAATGACAAATCAATCATTTTTTAACCAACTCAACAGGATTTATATGTCCATCGTAGGTTTTTGTATGCAAATCATGACGTCATCCAGAGTGAATTTAGTGATATTCATACGCCACATTGTTTTGTATACATAGGCCTAGTGACAGTGAGTACAGCTGATGAGAATCGAGGCTTGTTGTCCTGCACAGCTTCGACGAAATAGATGGAAACCAAACCTGAGCCTTATTTCTGTAATTTCTTCTAAATCTTCTACAGTTTCTCCTTTCAATTTCAATACAAATTTGGACAAATAGCACTGAATGTATATGAACAGTATTTTTACCTGTTTGTTTACAAGGTGATTATCACCGAAGTTAAGGCTCTCTGAGAAAATGTATGATGGGAGAAAAATAATCACCCCCTACCTTGAGGGTGTAACAGAGAAATCTCCAACCCTCTTGGTGACATCCTTGGTTGTCTAACCCTCGGCATAGCCTCCTTGGGTTGGATATTTCTCTGTCACACCCTCGAGGAAGGGAAATATTCTATTAGTCTTTTAATGACAGAAAAGATCACATTTCATGATCCTTAACTTTTTGTGTCAAGTAAATATATGTTATTAAATGGAAATGTGACGAGATGTCAAACAAATCAATTGTTATATATTAACAATAATTCACTCTTGTATCTTACCGAGTTCAAGGACATAACAAATATTACCCACATAAAAGTCAATAACGATGAATGATTACTCATTCACAGACATACTTCGTTTGAGAAATGTGTGGAAATGTATTGTCTTTTATTTACTTGTTAGTCGTATCAACTCCAAGAGGAAGCGCTAACCTATTTTAAACGAGATTAGACAGTATGTTACGATTAACGCAAACCACAAAAAATAGCAAAAAATATTCATCAATGTAATATTAGTAAGCCGTTTTGAATAGGCATGCTCAGGTTACGCGTATTAGAACCTCAACTCTCATAGTGTTATACACTGTAACAATAAAGTCGTTGGGAAATATATGATATGATCATCATTAAATCTTGTAGAGAAGATCCTATGATCTGTGATTCAACAAGAGTCGTGACACCCCATCTTCCAGTAGCACACAGCTTAACTTAAGAATGTATAATTTTCAAATTAAGAATGAGGTAAGGGATCATGAATTGTGTAGTCGACGACCTTACAGACAACTGTAATTATCCCCGTAAGGTAATTCTAGAAATCAAATACCCTGATTAAAATGTATACTGTTCACGTAAAATTTAATACATCGGCGTTAATTTATCACATCATAGGTTTACCAAACGGACTGTAAGATTTGTCAGCATCCGCCTTTCTGAAATAAAATCCTTATTTCGAGTTTGTATATAGATAAGTGTTGTTAGTTAAGCTTTAATCAATTATTTGATTATTTAATCAATTATGTTTTCAGTTTTCCAACTAGTTCTGAGAAGATCAAAAATGTAAAAAAAAAAAAAAATGAAAAAAGCGAACACTAACAGAGATAATCATTGATTACAAGCACATAAGTTGTTTGGTGAATGATGTAGTATGTCAATACGACTTAATACTTAAAGCTGAAAATTCAAGCTAAAAAGACATCATTTTGAATACAAAAAAAGAGAAGAAAAATTCCATTTCCTCCTGAGATAACGATAACCTGCGGTGATAGTATCTAAGAGGGTGGCAAAAATTCCAAGTTCAAGCCTTGCTTGGAAATGAGAACGGGCATTCCAGGGTATAGAAGGTGTACAGCCTGTCAGACTAATGATCATATCAACATTGACTACCGAAAGTGACACTCACCTATTAATTATGGTAACAGATACACGCGACCCTAGAAGAGTTCACTTGCCTTGAAAAGATTTCAGTACTATCCAAAATTACATCCAAAACATCAGCACAAACATTATTAAACACAGCAAGCTCCCTGCTTTCCAGTACTTATTTTCTTACACACATGCATGTGTTATAGACTCGGTCGATTTTACAGTGTCAATGAAGCATTTGAATAAATGCATGCCATTTTTTTTTTTTTTTTTTTTTTACACTTTCTCAATATTTCTCACGCAAATACCTAACTAGTTAAACGTGTGCAAAGTGATGAACAGTAGTAAATTATGTAAATAGGACACCGTCGAACTGTTTTCTAAAAAAATAAGTGGAGATAGTATAGCTTATAGCACTGTAATTTATTTTTGTACTCTGGAAGAACAAATTAGGGTTTGTGTTGTTAATCTTTGATGATATGTTATTTGGTGGGTTGGTATTGTATCTTTTTGTCATAGGTGTGTAATCAGCGTCCTTTTTCTGTTTGGAAAAAAACTGAAGCCAGAAAATGTATAGTCATATGCCAATGTATTTATATTCGTGTACATGTATATAGATTAGTCGCTTTGCGCCTAATTGAAATAATGATAATAAGGTAGAAACCCTAAGACGCCTTAATACATATTTCTAAGCAAGGGTTGGACTAAATTGTCTGTCACTTCCTTCAATACGATACCGGAAGATATGATTAACGTAAGGGGAACATCTCAAATACTTCCAAACACTAAGACATTCATTTAATATCAAAATAAATACTTTCCGGATGATTTTAGTTTAAAATGAAACTGATGGATATGATAATTCGACCTCATAAAGCATAAGAATCTTCGATACCAAAATCTGTACAATTTTAAAATGTATTGGATAATTAGGCCTTATATAGTAATAAAAAGTTTAATAACTACATGTGCAGATGTATTATTATTGATTAACTATACAGATATTGCCTCAATACGGACTTTTTCTGATTACGCCAAGTAAAACAAACTCTTGGCAAATACTGGAAAAATATTGATTCGAGTGAAAAGTTTCAAATATGAAGCGCACAAAAACAAAAACAAAAAAGTTAAGATGAAGGATTGGAAAGAATGCAAAGCAAAGTTTTATGTTTTAACATTGCCGGATTTGTGTTTCAGACGAAATGGACGAACAGGAAGTACAGTCTGATACGGATATGAAGTCGGATGAGGAAATGTTTGTTTATTCTCACATTACTTTAACAGTTATGCGTTACTTTTCAAAAATCCTGATGAAGTGTAGGATGAAGTAGTAAGGAAATGGGGCGAAACAGAATTTTTTATCCTGTTTTCAATGTAGTAGAATCTACATCGATCTAAGTCCGTAATCAATTTATTGAAGCAAGCGTAAACAAAAACACAATCTAATAATCGGATAGTGACGTAAAAGTACACCAGGAATGGGCATTGGTAAACGATTATGTGCCTGAAATTCATCGAATACCTCCAGCGAAATGTAAAAACGCGTAGGGCAGATTTGTCCTAAGTAAATATAACTTAAATTACCAGAAATTACTAATCGATTTATTTTAATCTGTTAAGATGTAGAACATGTTCTTGTGGAATTTCTTTTGTACGGCGTTCTTACCTGAAATCTAACCATTGGGGTATTTTAAGCTGTAATTTTTTGTAACATGACAATTTTAGTTGTACCACTGCGGCATACACCATTGTCAATAGCCTCTTCTTCACTTCAGTTCAACATTCGACACGCTACATTAAAATGTCATTGGTGACTGCTAATATATAACCTCTATACCATTTGTATGGAAAGTATGTTCCCTGTTGGTAATCGATACCCCTTCTGTGGACGTGACTTCCATGCATGACCTACTTTTTAACCCCTTGATGTAACATTTTAATTTTGTCTGAATCCAACGCCTTTTTGACTCACAAATGATTAACGAGAGCAGAATGTGTTGCATGGCTGGGTATATGTTTGAGAACACACATATAAAGTTCATGGAGTAATTAATTAAAATAGAATAAATCATTATCATCACTATAGTCATCAGCATTCTTCCCGTTGTCTTTCTGGCCATAATCATCCATCTACTATAGAATAGGTTATCACAAAGTTTCTAGTTTTCCACATTTTCGAGTCATATTCGCTTCCCTGTCAATCTCACATTTGACATGTTTTGGCATGCATTCAAGTAATTGTAGCAGAGTTTACATCAAAATAAATAAGATTGACACTTCAATATTAATGATAGATCATAATTTTTATGCTGATATTAAGTCATTACAATAAAAGATCTAACATCACAAGCAAATTTAAGTATGTCGTGTCGACGAAAACATGGTTGCCTTTAGATAAATGATATGCATCAAACGTAATAGCACTGAGGTATAGTGTGTTCTATTATTCTATATAAAGAAAGGTAATGTGAAGTAATGGTAACAATACACTGTAGTCTGTTTAGTAGTGGTCTGCTGGAGTTAATCCAGATGGCCTCCTTGGCAAACCGCCTAAAAAGGTAGTTTTCCAGGTCGACATTTTGGTGCTTTTCCCTTTCTATGGGGTAGTTTTGTTGTGTTGAATGATCTGAAAATGTCGATGAATTGATCTGGGACTGAGATTGCTTTGATCGCTTAGACCCGTTGTATTGCCTGTTTCGTTTCTTGGTCTTTTTTCTTCAATTAATCTAGTCAATTGCTGGATTGCCCAATCAGGATATCCACATGAATCCACATGTCAGTCGATTCAATACCATCACACACGCTTCATACGGCAGTGCTAATACGCTTCATACTGGTCATTTGTCTGCTGAAGGCGTCATTTTTGTCATTGAAACGTAACAACATAAATCTGAGTTGTCGATTATTGGTATAATAAGTATTATCTTCATTAACCATTATTTCGGTACGTGTTAAAATAACTTCAAAATCATATACGAAATTTCGGCTTTTAGCTCTTCAGAAGTGTCTGTCTAGACATTATCTCTTCTCGGCCAATTTGTTTGACATGGTTTCATCTTATCATTAGTGATAATACCATTCAACTTAAATCATAATCCTCCGGATTGGGGTAGGCACTGTGTATAAAACCAAAGCATACACGTGACACGTATGCGCCCAAGACAGATATACTTTTGATTTCACGGTTCGCAGGTTGAACCTGGGAGGGTTACGGGTAAAGTCGGCTAATACGAGTACTTTTTGGTTTAATTTAATCATTTCCAACATAACATCAGTGGGATATAACAAATTGAAACGGATTGATATTGAGATTTATTACCATAATTAAGTGGATGTCATTCCGTATGTAGACAATTTGTTTATTGTCAAGAGGTGGTCGCTTTGAGGAGTAAATGATGGTTTTATTGAAGATTGTTATTTTTGAGGATTCTTTTTTGTTATATTCTAAGATCATTGTGTTGAATAAAAACCTTAATTGAACTAACACCTAACAAATTTAATAATGTTCACAAAAAATATTCTTTCTGTTTCAAAATATTGGGAAAGCACGAATGATTTTTAAAAAACGAAAGAATCAACCTTTACAATAATTCAGCAGTCACTACACCAAACAATTAGCAAGTGTGATGGGATATCAATGTTTTTATCTATGAAATTGTTCCGCATATTCTTATATCGTATATTGTTTCCAATGTTATAATCTCTAATAACATAACAAATGACAGCGATATTGTGCTTTACAAAACAGGAAATAAGAACGTGTAGTATCATATAATTCGTTATCCCTTACTTCCGTCTGTGTTCGAGTGATCGACAAATCCCGCCATGTTTTCCATTGTTACAGTTTCTGACACGGTAGGAATTTTTGTGTCGTTTGTGGGAAAGCGTTTTGCTGTTTTCCTGAACCACTCTACCGCAATTCCTAGAAGTGAGGCCACAGTGATGCAAGATCCTTCAATAAAGCAAATATACCAGTATTCAGTAATATACAGTTATGGGTGAAATTGTTGGCATTGCTTAAACCTCCAAGTACTCTTCAATAACTGATATAGTGAATCTAAGAAATATAGTTATTATACATTTCATATATATGAAAAAAAACAACTATTTCACGTAATGGAAATAGTAATAAATAGGTCTTTTCACTTACAAAACTAGACTGTCTACATAATGAAATCTTACCAGCAACTAGGAAAGAGTTTTCATACGATCGAGTGTAGTCGATGATTGCACCTTGGGAGAAAAATATTATCTTAATTAGATGTATAGATATATCCTGTCTGAACTTTCTTTATCATATTCAAGATTGGTTATCAATATATATTCAGTTTTATACTGCAAACATTCCCTCAAATGATCTCTGAATACAAAAAAGTATTACTTTATAAATTAATTAATTCATAGAAAGAAAGAAAGAAATGGAGAGTAACTGCAATAACGGGTGAAAACTTATATGTTACTATTTATTGATGCCGGCTACCGAGCAACGCCTCAATATTCTCGGCAGAACCACGAGCTATCTATCTCGTTCTTGAATATATTCAAAGAAACAAAGTAATGAGAGCTGTTATCCATTCAGACTCTCTTTCTGTTCTACAAAGTCTTAGCAATAGAAATATCGAAAATATTTTCATCCGTACATTATCCTATATCATGAACTTGCCTTTAACTTTCATCTTGCTTTTTGCTGGGTTCCTGGGCACATGGGAATACCAGGAAATGAAAAAGTAGATCGTTCCGCAAAGGAAGCTTTATCGATACCACCTGTTGTTTTTAAACTTCATTTTACCGATTTTAAACCATTTATTAAACAATTTTTAAAAGCTCAGTGACAGGTGGAATGGAATACATATACAAATAAAAACAATTGCACACCGTTACACAACCACCGAGACGAACTTGTCCTTGCCCGTCTTCGGATAGGTCATACATACCTTACACATTCATATATGTTGAAAGGCGAAGATAATCCTTGGTGCATAGGATGTGATGAGTCATTCACCGTTAAACATTTTTATTGGACTGCAGTGACCTTCTGTCTACCCGAGAATGCTTTTGTCGTAACATTACATGTCTAAAACCTCTTTTTGAAACTGTTGGGATTTGTAAAATTCTACATTACTTGAAAGATGTTGGTCTTTATAATAGACTGTAACGTACCATTTTAATCTTTTGTGTTAACATACCCATGTAAGATTTTTAACATTTCTCTTTTACCTTTTGGTTTGTTTGATGTTATTTCTTTTTGGATCGCTGTGTGTTTTACCGTTTCATGGCCCTAATGATCTTTTATGTGTTAACGGGCCGTTAAGAATGTAATAATAATAATAATAATAATGTTACTATTTACCTTTCAAAATCAAAATGTGCAACCTATCCCAAAATTTAAAACAAACTGAAAGTTTGGCGGTGCAAACGAAGTTGTATGGAGGGTGTACAAAGAAACCTACATTTCTAACAGTGTAATCAATTATGGTTTGTTTCATGATAATTAGTAAGGTGGCATATCTACCTGCAGTTACAGGTCCAATGATTGAGCCAACACCACAAAAGAACAGGTATAGTCCAAGGCCTGCGGATAAGTTCTCTATCCCGAGAAGATGTATAGTCAATGTGTTTATTACACTGGTATAGCATCCGGAATACAATCCGAAGAAAACTGAATACGTGAGTTGGCCTCCATATGTAGATGCGTACAATGGGAAGAACAAAGTTGATAGACCGAGAAGACCAAATGTTCCAAAGTAAATCACAATTTCGTCAATATTTTCGTCTTGGGTGGCAAATCCTGTCAGTAACCGCGATATACAGTCGCATATTCCATAAACAGAAACTAGAAAAGATGCCGACATAGACGATGATCCCTTTTCTATTGCATAACGGGGAAGATGCACGTGAACAAGATGAATTCCTGAACTCGAGAAAAACATACTGACACATAAACAAAGAAATGATTTGCATTTAAGAATAGAGAGCGAATGAAATATACTGTTTAAAACTGTCATATTGTTTTCACGTTTCATGTTTTGATATCTGATTTTTTGTTTCGTTTCTAGTTCTGACGGGAAGAACAGACATCCGAACAATGCCTCCTGTAACGCGATGCCGGCAAGGATAAAGAAAAATCCTGTATTTCCATATTCTTCCCGAGCAGCGTGTACGAAAGGAACAATGACGAGGTTGCCAATTCCAACCCCTGACACTGCAATACCAATAGCAATGTTCCTTTTGTGGCTGAAGTTATACCCAAGAACTGCATAGGCGGCGAAATATACCAAACCTGATCCGATTCCTAAAATGGATCGTCTCTGTTAACCATTGCCCAAAAATGAATGTGTTAATCAATTCTATTGATGATAGCATGTCTTAAATCTGATCTTAAAGCAAATTGACATTATCAAACTTGTTTTTAAACACCAAATTTAATCAAAGGTATTTGTCACTAATGTCACTGTTTAGCAAAGAGAGCGATTGTTGTTACTGAAAAAGGACTTAAAGATGTAGTATATAGAGCTTACCAGTAAGTACTCCAAAGAAGATAATGACCAAATCAAGTGAAGGAACAAAAGCACAAATTATAAACCCAACAGACATAAGGAATGCTCCGATAAACATGGTTACACGGCAGCTGAACCTGTTAATCAGGACACTTGCCAGAATACCTGAAAGGAATAAAACAAATAAACGAATTCATATGCAATGTAATGGTGGTTGGTTAGTAAATTAAATTGAATTTAATATGTAATATGTAAATACCAAATGGTACGTTTTGAGGTCTACCGACTCCGATAAGCAGTCTGGCATATATAGATGAATGTTGTGTTGCTAAGGACGTCTAAAAGTTATCGAAAATTAATATAGATTTCTGATAAAATAAATACAATGAACTCGTTATAATTGATATATCTCCTTTTAAGGTAGATCTAGCTCGAAGCGTGGAGTCGGAAAACGAGACCAGTTAATACAGTGGTTATCTTGAAAACATGTTACTGACAGGTAAACACATCAACTTGAAAACATAATAAATAAAGTTGGTAACATTATGAGCGATGTAGACACACACTAACATTAGATTAATGTGAAAACCGCAGTCACATCACGGCAAGTTTCGCACATTTGCCAACTATTTTAGATATACAACTACTTGGATAACACCACAGACCACACTGGAAAAAATCTTCAAAAATATCTGTCCGTCATTTTTTTTTTTTTTTTTTTTTCCATATGGTTGACTTAAACTCACTCTCACTCTCCAGAATTAAGAAATTTCGAAAAGCTTAAAAACTTATTGTTTAGTCACGACATTAGATTAGTGTTCTGAAAACGGGAATGAAGGGAATTTCACTCATATAAACAAGTACTTTCCATTAGTAACACATTACATAGTTTCGCATTTTGGTTAGACATGCCTTTTGAACATTTCTGCCTTTGAAATCTTTTACATTTTGTGGTATTTTTCAGTATATATTTAAGTATATTCGGAGAAAATAGCTTTTTGTTTTATTCTTGGAGCATGGAGTTTGTTTTAATGGTTTCAGCTTCGCTCTAGGTCTACTTTAAAATGGGATATGAACAATGCTGTCTTGCGTGTAAAACTCGATTCCTTATTACAGTAACAGTAACTAGTTTCCTTATCTGTAGCTATAGCAATAGCAACTCCATACAGTGGCTGGAATTATCTTTTTCATAACGTTTTTATTTCACTTGCTTACTCAAAATGTGTTTACTATCGATCGTCTCTGTACCTGTGAGTGATACCATCCCAATATACAAACTAGATGCCCAACTCGTCTTCACTACGTTTTCATCGAACCGTTCCATGAGAATGTTGTGAATGACACCGACACCAGTATGGAGACTTCCGGTGATCATACTTGAGCCAAACGAGCCAACCATCACAACCCATGACCATCCTTTGTCCGCAACAGTGAGTCGTTGTCTCCTCATCTTTCTAAAACAAAGTCTAATATATTAAATGTTATTGTTCTTTGTAATATATGTAAAAGATCTAGATTTATCTTTCATGGTGCTTTGCAAGTAAAAGATGATGTCAATAAGGTGCTAAAGTAATAGATCCCACTATATATTTGCCTTAATGAATGATATTGCTATGACAATTACAAGGTGTTCTATTCTATATTCGTCCTTATCTTCCTACTGAGTAACAAGTTTATCATCTATGTCGACAAACTCCTTTAATTAAAAATCACCAGCTGCATTTTCTTCAATAGCGCTTGAAATCTGACGCTTAATTAATGACTTCTGTCCTCTTGCAATACTGAAAATATGTAGGACATACTTTTAAAAACAAAAACAAAAGTATCAGGTATGATGGTTTACGTGTAAACGTGTTGTGAACGTTCAAAAATTATCAAGATAAGGCACACCAAAATATACAAGATTATACAAGACGGTGATTTAGTGGGGGTTAAACAATGCCATTATTTATGACAACTCATGTGTAGTGACTTTATTCCACTTTGGTCTGCTATAAGATCGCGAGAGTTCACCTAATGTAACTGGCTCATCGGATACTTATAACCTATTAATGCTGATAAATATAGTTTGATGCTTTAAATATAAATTATATTCTATTTGTATAAAGTGTAGGTTCAATGTTATATCCTAGAAAAGGTGCTATTCATTTATGTGTCTTATGTACATTCTCTAATATAGGAATGTGAAGATTACTTTTTGTTTTTATCGATATTGAGGCAGATGATATTTGGTAATTACTAAATTACTTCTTTTGGATTTTGTGAATAGAAGGAACCAATAAATCTGGTTTATTATCATATACCACATAATATATCATTTTTGGCAACTAGCACAAGGTTTAATATCACATTTACTATAAACAAAATCTATCTTGCCATTTTATTATCATCTTACCTTACATATTTTAACAAAACGTGGTTGAGATAATGTAAAATTAAACAATGTCAAAACCTCGTATAGATCGAGGTAAATTTCACCACGTGAATGGTTAAGGTCTCAGAAGTAATATTTGTTCATCAATCTTGTTGATATTTTGGTATGACATTTTGATATGATAGAATTGCACAACGTGCGCACAAATGTGCGATAGCTTATTTCGTCCAATTTTCCTTTCGCGAGTTCATCGTGCAGACATCTTGCGAACATCGCACATCATGTAACGTTGTTGGACACAACTGTAGCGTATTTGAATAGGAATTGGAATGTATTTTATGATTAACGTGAACAAAAAAATGCAAAAAATATCACAAATGTGATATTGTTAAACACTGGAACAAAAAGGATGTTGAAACATATGTGAAGTGGTGAACAATTAAGATTGCTGAGAATAGCCGGTTATCTATGTCCCTTTTATATCGAACCAGACAGGAATTGTGATCATTGCTCTAAAATTTCGTCCAGAATCACGACACTACGTCTTCCAGTAACACACAAGTTAACTAAATTTGTATAAGTTTAAAGTCCTACTGCTGAAACCTAGCTATATCAAATTTAGAATATGACACGGATTATGAATTACGTAATCGAGGACCTTACTTACGTCAGTAACACTACCATATTATGTAATTCTAGCTATCAAATACCCAGATTGAAATATAAGCTATTCACGTAAAACATAATACTATGACGTTGATTTATCACTTCATAGGTTTACCAAGCGGACTGTAAGATTTGTTAATAGACGTCTATCTGAATTAAATTCCTTATGTCGAGTATGTATATAGATATATGTTGTTAGGTAATCTTTAATTCATTATTTGGTCATTGAAACATACCAATATATAATCAGTCTTCTGAATATAGTTCATAAGATATCCTTTCGTTTATCACAAATGGAATAAATGAAAAAAAAAATAAATAAAAGTAGTTATCACTAACATAGACACAATACCACTTAATACTTAAAACAGACGATTCAAGTTTAAAAGGAATTATTTTGAATACAAAGAAAAAAGAAAAAAGTTTCTGTTTCCAAATGTTTCGGAGATGCCTTCTAAGATATCGATAACTTCTGGTCATCGTATCTAAGAGAGTGGCAGAAATTATAGTTTAAACCTTGCTTGGAAATGACAACGGGCATTCCAGGGTAAAACTTGAAGCCTGTTACACTAATAATCATTTCAACATTGACCATCCGAAGTGACACTCAACTATGTTATGATAACAAGAGTTCGCTTACCTTGAAATGCGTAAAGATTTCAGTACTTATCACCTATCCAAAATGACGTCCAAAACATAAGAAAGAAATGATAAAACACCGCTACCTCCCTACTGCCAATCTCTTATTCCTGAAATATGCGCATGTGTAGTAGACACGGTCTATTTTACAATGTTACTGAAGCGCTTGTATAATAGTGTGCATGGGAGTATTTGTTTACGTTTTCTCAATCTTGGTCATGCAAATGCTTGACAAGTACAACATGCGCAAAGTGATGAACTGTCGTAGATTAAGTAAATAGGACCACCGTTGAACTCTTTTCTAAAGGAAACAACTGGAGATAGTATAGCTTAAAACACAGGAATTTATTTCTATACTCTTGGAAAGCAAATTAGGGTTTGTTTTCCTATTCTTTGTGTATATCACTTATTTGGTGGGTATTGTATCTTTTTGTCATCGATAATTGTTCAGCGTCCTTTTGTAGTCGGAAAAATAATTAAAGCGAGAAAAGGTATAGTAATGCGCCGATGTATTTATGCATGTAAATGTATATAACTTAGTCGAGTTGCACCTAATTGAAATAATGATAATAATTAGGGTACAGGCCTTTGAAAACCTGAGATGCCCATATACACGTTTCCAAACAATGGCTGGACAAAAATGTCTGTCAATTCCTTCAATACTATAACTTGTAGATATTAGTTAGCTTAGAGCGAACATCTCAAAATATTCTGAAATTTGATATTTTTATTTAAGTATGTATTTTTTTAAATTTGTCAGCTTTAATACTAATACCAACTTCAAATTTTCATTGTTTAAAAATATCTATAAAACTTTTTTAATGTGGTACTTCCAAACACTGAAACATCAAATTGATATCAAAATAAATACTTTCCGGATGATTAGAGTTTCAACTGAAACTTATAGATATGATAATGCGGCCTCGTAAAGAAATTAAAGCATTAGAATATTTAATCCCTACATGTATACTTTTAACATGTATAGGATAATTCTGATAATTAGGCCTTCTATAGCAATAGAAAATGTAATAACTACATGTGCTCCTGTATTATTATTAATTAATTATACAAATATTGCCGTATACGGACATTTCTGCTTACGCCATGTAAAACAAACACTTGGCAAATACTGGAAAATGGTATAGATTCAAATGACAAGTTTAAAATAAGAATCGAACAAAACGAAATAAAGAAGCAATGGTGGTGGATTGGAAAGAAAACAAATGTTTTTAATTAATTTTACAACGCTGCTTCTGAGTTATTTGTTACGTTTCTATTATAAGAAACATACTACACTAGAAATTGATTGGCATTTCTTTGAAACAGACTAAAACATTGCCAGAAGCTTGATTTGAGTTTCAGACGAAATGGACGTACTCAAAGTACAGTCTGAAGGGAATATGAAGGTATGCATTACTTTTCAAGAATCCAGATAAAGGGTCAGATGAAGTAGTAAGAGAGCGCAAACAACAGTATTTCTTTTCCTATTTTTAATGCATTAGAATCTAGATTTGTAAACGTCAGTGATCAAGACACATCCACAATTGACACTTAATGTCACTAATGACATCCATAGACTATAGTTGACGTTTTAACATCTCAAGATATCTGAGACCATCTATTTGCAATATGACCTTAATCTAAGAAATCATCCACCCTAAAATTCGGTGTTGGGATTTTGTATCATCTCTTTCTGTAATTAAGGAGCCTCATATTGTGCAACGCAAATGAGTCTATAGAATTTAAGATACTATAATCTATTTAGATGGAAAAGATGTTCTTTTAGACTGTCGTTTGTGCGATGTTGCAACCTCCAACATTTTCGTTGGGATCCTTCACGCTGTATTTTTTAATAACATATGGCGTTGTTTAGTTGTACAACTGCGGCCTACACCATTGTCAATACCTGTTATGTAATACTCTTTGTACGTTCACTTCAACATTCAAAACGATACATTAGAATGTCATTGGTGACTGATAATGTACGACCTCTATACCATTTGTATGGAAGGTTTAAAAACTATACTCCTTCATTGAATTTTTTACCTTTCTGCTTGAAATATTTTTTTATCCCTGAAGCCAACGTCTTTTTTGTTTCACAAATGCAAAATGTTTTGCATGGCTGTTGTTTGAGAACAGTGATATAAAATTCATGGTGCAATTTTTCAAAATTGAATTAATCATTATCATCACCATAGTCATTAGCTTTCTTGTCCTTGTCTTTTTCGACATGAAGTTTAATGTATTATAGAAAATGTTATCAAAACGTTTCTAGTTTGCAGCACATTTTCGAGTCATATCCACTTCCCTGACAGTCTCCCATTTACATGGTTTGACATGCACTCAAGCAATTTCAACAGAATTTTGCAATAAAATAAATCAAGATAGACAATGATATATCGTAATGTTCATTTAGTTGATATCCAATCACCGTAATATAAGTTCTAATAACACAACCATTTGAAATATTAAGTGTGGCTTTTTTATCAAAGCACAGTCGCCTTTACAGAAATTATCTGCATGAAGAGTATTATAAATGACATATGGTGTGAACGATATAGCACAGAATCGACCGGCTTTTCCAGCTATGCTGTTATTCCTTGTAAACAAAGGTAATGTCACGAGATGGTAATAATACACTATTGTCGATTCGGTCTACTCTCTGTGGCTCTGTTGTCCCTGTTTAGTAGTGGTCTGCTGGAGTGAACCCAGATGGCCTCCTTGGCAAACCGCCTAAAAAGGTAGTTTTCCAGGTCGACATTTTGGTGGTT